ATTCTCGCTGCCGATTTTTTGGTCGCGGTTTTTGACAAATATTGGATCGTTTCTTGTCCTATGGCTGAGATTCGATCAAGGTTTGACTAGCTTGGACTGGCTCCGGTCTGGACCTGTTAGGACAAGTCATGACCAGATTTTACTAGGCTCTGACCAGCTTGGACAAGATATGACCAATTTTGACCAGTGGCCCATGAGTGGAAACACTCGGGTCTCCCACGTCAATCGACCTTGTGTCACATCTTGACTTAGTGGGACTCAAGTAAATACCAATTTTCCGGCCGATTTTTTGGCTGGGGTTTTTGACAAATATTGGATCGTTTCTTGGCCTATGGCTGAGATTCGATCAAGGCTTTGACTAGCTTGGACTGGCTCCGGCCGGGACCTGATAGGACAAGTCATGACCTGCTTTGACTAGGCTCTGACCAGCTTGGACAAGCTATGACCAATTTTGACCAGTGGCCTCTGAGTGGAAACACTCGGGTCTCCCACATTAATCGACCTTGTGTCACATCTTGACTTAGTGGGAGTCAAGTAAATATCAATTCTTCCCCTTGATTTTTTGGAATGGTTTTTGACAAATTATGAATTGTTTCTTGGCCCATGGCTGAGATTCGTTCAAGGCTTTGACCAGCTTGGACTGGCTCCAGCCTGGACCTGTTAGGACAAGTCATGACCAGTTTTGAGTAGGCTCTGACCAGCTTGGACAAACTATGACCAATTTTGACCGGTGGCCTTAGAGTGGAAACACTCGGGTCTCCCACGTTATTCGACCTTGTGTCACATCTTGACTTAGTGGGAGTCAATTAAATACCAATTCGCCCGGCCGATTCTTTAGCTGGGGTTTTTGACAAATATTGGATCGTTTCTTGGCCTATGGCTAAGATTCGATCAAGGCTTTGTCTAGCTTTTACAGGCTCCGGCCTGGACCTGTTAGGACAAGTCATGACCAGCTTTGACTAAGCTCTGAACAGCTTGGACATGCTTTGTCCAATTTTGACCAGTGGCCCATGAGTGGAAACACTCGGGTCTCCCACGTTAATCGACCTTGTGTCACATCTTGACTTAGTGGGAGTCAAGTAAATACCAATTCTTCCGGTTGATTTTTTGGGTGGGGTTTTTGACAAATTATGGATTGTTTCTTGGCCTATGGCTTAGATTCGATCAAGGTTTTGACTAGCTTGGACTGGCTCCGGCCTGGACCTGATAGGACAAGTCATGACCAGCATTGACTAGGCTCTGACGAGCTTGGACAATCTATGACCAATTTTGACCAGTGGAAACACTCGGGTCTCCCACGTTATTCGACCTTGTGTCTCATCTTAACTTAGTGGGAGTCAAGTAAATACCAATTCTCCCGGCCCATCTTTTGTTATTTTGATTAATATATCTATATTAAGTATATATTTATTTATGCCATATATACATTTAGTATAGTATTTACATTATAATCATAACTGCTGGTAGTTACTATAGTGGTTTTATAACTCAAAAATAATCCCTTCCCATCTACGGGCAATCGACTTTAACGGACCACCCCTTTCCCCCTATTAGTCCGTTGATGAGAGGTTTGTATATCGAATCAGGGATTTTTATTATATAATTCCTCGCCATTTTTGACATCTGATTTAATTTGTTATGTTGTAGCACCTTGTTTCTATGGATATCAATGTTTAGTTTCATTTCTTACAATTCTTTTCATTCTTGCATACAGACAAGACAGATGATAAATTGTTATCTTGGCTTAATTTTATTTTTGCTTTCGTTTAATATTCAGGAAGCATCGAACATAAAAAAAAAGAAAATATGGATTAATGGAACGGGTATATAAATAAATCAGCGAATTGAATTTTGACAACCGTCGACGTAGTTATGGATATTTTTAAAGTTATTTTTCTTTAGTAAGAGCATAAATGTAATCTTCTGGACCGCCTTAGTTTTGTTTTTTGTTTTTTGTTTTGTTTTGTTTTGTTTTTTTTGTTTTTTTTTTTGTTTTTTGGGCCTGATTTTGACGCTGACAGTTTTTGCCATAAAACTTGCAAAGAAAACGAAAATCTGAGTTAAAACAGAAAACATTATAATTTTATGAACATTTTCTAGAAAACAACAAAAAAAACTATATACATTGTCATTCATGACAGATGGAAGGTAATAAATGAATGACTTATGTACGTGCATGATTGTGTAGCGTCCATATGAAATGCGTATAGGAAGAATTTGATTATGACAAAATGGCCGGCCTAATTTCGCACCAGTAATAATAATAATAATAATAATAATAATATTAATAATAATAATAATAATAATAATAATAATATATAGACCAATTACATGTCTTCCAACAACATACAAACTGTTAACATCTATTTTAACAAAACAGACATATTTCTTCTTGGAAAGAAATGACATACTACCACTTGAACAAAAAGGGTGCAAACGAGGCTGCTACGGATGTAAAGACCAATTACTTATTAATAGGATGATCCTGGAAAACTGCTTCCGTGGAAAAAAAAATCTTAGTATTGCCTGGATAGATTATCGTAAAGCATTCGATAGTGTACCACATTCCTGGATCTTAAAGTCTTTAAGTATGTACAAGGTATCACCCGTTATCATCAATTTCATCAAACAATGTATGTCGATATGGAAAACTACACTTTACCTCAATCATAAAAATGGAACCTATAAGTCTGGCGAAATAAACATCAATAGAGGAATATTTCAAAGGTGACTCTTTGTCTCCTTTATTATTTTGCATATCACTTATAGCATTAACCAGCCAACTTAACAAGACAGAATGCGGTTACAAAATAGCTCAAAAGAAAATAAACCATCTATTTTACATGGATGACTTAAAATTGTATGCTAGGAATGACAATGAGCTGGAAGGTCTTCTGCAAACTGTAAAATGCTTCAGTGAAGACATTGGAATGAAATTCAATTTGGATAAATGTGCTAAAGCTACAGTTTTACGAGGATCGCTACAACAAACTTCCTCTATTAGTTTAGACCCTGCTGTAACAATAAAAGATTTAGAACAAGGAGAAGCTTATAAGTACCTAGGTGTAAATGAGAGTGAAGGAATTCACCATAAGAAAATGAAAGAAATAGTGCGTAAAGAGTACTATAGAAGGGTACGACTGGTATTAAAAACTGAATTGAATTCTCAGAACAGAATTATGGCCATTAATAACCTTGCCATCCCAGTGGTCCAATATAGTTTCAACATCTTGAACTGGACTCTAAATGACATCAGACAAATGGATTCTAAAACAAGAAAGCTTCTTTCTAAGTATAAGATGCATCATCCAAAGGCTGATGTAGACCGTCTATACATACCCCGTAAAAAGAAGGTGGAAGAGGTCTTATTCAGCTAGAATTGTCATACAAGACAACAACTATTGGCTTACTAACTTACATGGAAACAAACAAATGACTGGATGATAAAATTAGTGAAACAACATGAAAACAGAAAAAAAAAAATATTCAATAATAAAAGAAGGCAGTAAATACAAACAACATTTACATTTAGTAGATTCTGTAGTAAATCAAAACAGAAGCCAAGAACCAACTATTGCAGCAAAAGATATGAAAAAGAAAGCCAAGAATAAAGCCCTTGAACAGATGAAACAACGCTGGCAAGACAAACTCTGCATGGCCAATATCCAGAACGTGCAAATAAACCCAATGTTGATAAAGTTAATACTCATCGATGGTTACGAGCATCTGGATTAAAGTCTGAAACTGAAGGCTTTATTCTTGCAGCGCAAGACCAGAGTCTTTTCACTAGGAATTTTCAGGCAAATATCATACATAATAATGTGGATCCAAAATGCAGGTTCTGTGACAAATACCAAGAAACAATAGACCATCTAATCTCAGGATGTTCTATACTTGCCCCAAATGAATATAAAAATCGTCACGATAGAGTGGGGCAATACTTACACTGGACAATGTGCAAACACTTTGGAAAATGTGTAAGCAAACACTGGTATGAACATCGGCCAGCGCCGGTTACAGAAATAGAAGATGTCACCATTCTATGGGATTATACCATCCACACAGACAGAAAAATTGAAGCAAATAGGCCGGACATTATTGTCAAAAACCAGAAAGAAAAAACTTGCCTACTAATTGATATGGCTTGTCCAGCGGATTGTAACATAGCAACCAAGGAATTTGAAAAACTATCAAAATACAAAGACCTGAAATTGAAATAGAAAAATGTGGAAATTGAAAACAAGAATAATACCAGTGGTAATAGGTGCACTTGGAATTATAAAAAATGGAACAAAACAACACATTGAAAGAATCCCTGGAAACCCCAGCTTAAGAGACATACAGAAAATTGTCTTATTAAGTACAGCACACACACTAAGGAGAACTTTGTCTATGTAACGCTAGCAACTTCATCGGAGATAAAAAAAAAAAAAAAAAAAATTAACATGAAATGTGGCCATAACAACACACCACGACCTGCCTTAGGTCTTTCCGCAGACTTGGTAGGTAGTGTGTCCATAGCAGAAATCGAATGATGATGATAATAATAATAATAATTTCTTGATTAAAATTTATGAAAATAAAAGCAATTTTCTATTTCGCGCTTGCAAACAGACAGATTTTTGTTTTCTTTTTTTTTATTTTTTAAAAGCACAATTTTACACCTACTTTTTCGTGTTTAGTTAAAGATTTGAAGCAATGGGATTAAAATAATCAGGTTTTGATGCTAATCTGTTTTCTAGATTGCAACTTAAGCTTAAATAGTTATTCACTTTTACAAAAGTTCTTAAATGTAGAACAAAAAATATGGCGATTTTTTCATCTCTGCGAGTATTTACTGTGCCTTGCATAATTTTAGAACACATATTGGCGATCAAATAAAAAATAATATTTAATACTCCAGCACCTACCTCAGTACTCTTTCTTATTTTAATGATGTTGTTGTCTAGATAGGTTCAGTTCCATTTCTTCTAATCTTTTGGTGGCTTATAGCCCTCTCACATTAAAACACCGGTTCTTGTCCGTTCACCGAAGTTAAGCAACGTCGAGCCTGGTTTGTACCCAGATGGGTGACCACTTGGGAATACCAGGTGCTGTAAGCTTGGATGTGCCGCGCTGTAATTAATAACAGCCCGGAATGGCATATTTTAGGGAAAGGGATGAATCCATCTCTTCTCCCCCAGCTGTGGGCTAAATAGTAGGACATATCTGAAAATCATTATTATCTCAACAGAAATGTTAGGAAAATATTTACTCGCTACAAAAAATGTATTATCGGATGTTAAATCCGATAATATTTTTCACCTTTAAATAACTTACAAAAGGTTGACAAGCCGTAAAAACAGTATAAACTTTTTGCAAGATGCAAAAGAATAATATGAATACTACGCACTGAACATCTGAGTAACGAGGAGGTTTTAAGGACAATTAGAAGGAAAATGACACTTTTGCTTTCGTTCATAAAAAGACAACTGAAACTTCTGAGAAAGGAAGCTTGGGCAATTTGACACTCACAAGGCATTTTGAAGGCAAGTGAGACAGATTGAAACAGTGAATAACATACATAAAAAGCTCGTTTAAATCAGTGGCAGAACATGAGATAAGGAGATAGTGAGAAAGCAAAATTATTACGAGCTATAAAGAATAGAAAGTTTGGGAAAACCATGATTACACACGTCTTGATAGGACACAGCTCATAAAATATTTGCTAATGAGAGAAAGAGTTTTTGTAAGTTGGTAAAGACTGGTCAGTGTTTTTTTCTCTGTGTGTCTGTGTGAGATAGAGATAGTGAGAGATCCATAGACAGAAACAGAAATAGCTTTAACCCCATTGTTTTCGCTTTCAAGATCACTCTAAGAGAGCAGTTTATTGAATCGCCTTCATTTCACTTCTCAACCATTCATCCATAAGTTTTAATTAACCACATGATCACTTCTTTCTTTTCCTTTTTTTTTAATTTTCACCTCAATCAAAGGGATAAAGACACTAAAACGTCAAGGTTACTGATAGTGAAAGAGAATAACAAAGTTTAGTGAGAATAAAGGGCAATAAAATAAAAGGTGTCGAGAAGACAGAAGATGGGAATTTAAATTTCTGAAGAACGTAGGAGGCAAGGAAGTAAGAAAATTAAAAAGAGTTCCATATACGAGAAGTCTGAGAGAAGAAACACTTAGAATAGAACTTACGGTTACATCTAGCTATTTCAGCAGTAAAACAATTAGACCTAGTTACATTAGGGCGGTGGGAAAGTGCCTGAAGTCGAGATGCCAGATTAGGACCGATAGCGTTAGAGACAGTTTTTTTTCTGATGTCTTTTTGGTTTTATTGTCGAAAATATCCAATTCCATTATAAATATTTTGATTATATGAAACCTTAGTATTTTAATATAATTTTGCTGAGTTCGACTTCTGACTCATTGTTACAGTGTTTTTTGTTATTTTTAACGTTGCAAAACAAAGATAATTATCAGGTTACACGAATCGGTTTGTGGATCGAAATTTATCTTTTACTTTGTGTTGAGTTTTCGTTAAATTTCTCTTGTAAAATACGTAACTGTACTTATAACACATCTTCCTCTTTTTATCGAAATGAATTTGAAAGAATTGAATGAAAAGACGTACAAGATTCCGACTCGAGTTTTTGCTTAGTACTAATATTTTTGTTATTCTTTCTTTTGTTGGGTTTTTCATGTATGAATTTATTAATAATATTCATATTTATTCTTATTTCTCACTTTCGTTAACAATAGCAAACAACAAAAGTACCCTTGCTTCGTTATCTGACATAAGTATCTCCCTAACCAACAGTCGTGAGAATCCAAATACAATAAGTTTATATTTAAACTGAAAATCCTGCAGCAATTGAAGAAGACACAATACAATGCAACATTGGAAGGATTTAAGAATATTAGAAGTAACTATACCGTTTAACTATCAATCGATATCTGTATGTAATGTATGCAAAGGAATAAGCATTTTTGCATATAGCACAACATCAGGTTCTTTCATATACGTACAGACGTGTATATAAACCTTGTGCAAATTAATTATACAGGAAACTGTGGTGAGCCATGATCAACCACACCCTTGTGCAAATTAATTGAAACAAAACGAATAATTCCGTTATTATTTACTTATTTCGTATTTTTCCAATGAAACATGAACCAGTGCACATGTTAGTACTTCGTATGTCCATTCCACAAAGTCTTTTTCTTGTAGATTGACCACAGATTCTCGATTGGATAAAAATCAGGAGAGTTTCCGAGCCCGTCGATAGTACTTTGATTTGCTCACTGATAACGCTTGTCAGTGTGTTCGTGCAGCGTTACAATTTTCGTACGCTTCCTTGGAGTAACGTCCATCGCAGACAATAGCAATAGGACTACTAATCGACAGTTGAGACAATAGTATGTGGGCGTGATAAAAATCTGATGCAATCAAAGATGACGTAATATTTTTTAAGGCCAAACAAATTTCATCATACACCCCATAAATAGATTCATATTATTACAAAACCAATGCAAATGACCTTATCTGAGAAAAAAATATAAATCGATTACACACTCGTCACTCCAATGGCTCTAAAACTGGCCGTATGGTGAAAGAAAGGAAACTAAAGCGGTTGTTTCAATTAATTCGCACAAGGATATACATGTGTGTCTGTGTTTTAAGACATATTAACACATGTCTATGAATTTCTGTGTACATTAGTTTGTATACATTGATTATGGAGCTGCTTTACATGACCGGTAACAAAGAGTTCGCTCTCATTGCTTCATTGCTTTATTTATTATGCTTTTTGGTTTGATTCTTTTTATTCTTGTTTGTTTGGGGTTTTTTGGGGGGGGGTTTCCTCCTACACGGCAGTGAATACCGGACAATCTCCTTAAAGATAAACAGTAGGTGTGGCGTAAGAGGGGGGGGGGCGATTCTACAGAAGGTAGCCCTGAGAATACTATAGATTGAATACGTGAATGAAGTAGTTTTAAGTAAAATGAAAACAAAGAAATACGCTTATACTTACAACCAAAATGAGACAACTGAAATTTCTAGGATACATAAGGGAAGAATGTTTGGAGAATTTAATACACACAAGACGTATTGAAGACAAGAGGGACGACGAAAAGCTGCGAATAATCTACTTTACAAAATAGTGTAAATGGATGGTAACACAGAGAGTGAGAGGAATTCTAAAAAGTCTACAAATGTTAAATCTTGTATATATGAATTTCACCTGTTCCTATTAACAACTGCATTGTTTATTTCCTGGCAATCTGATATCTGACTCGTTTTGTTGGTCAAACAAGTCAACAGCAGCAGATATGACGTCATTATCACTATGATACTAGTTCTCAGACAAGTGCTTTTTCGTGTAGAGAACTAGATGATAGGAAAATCAAGAGAATAAGGAGAGTTATCAAACATTTCAAAACCACAGTCACATAGAGCAACCATTGAAACCAAGGACTAGTGTGCTGGAACATTGTTTTCCTGGGCGTTTGGTTTTGATAGTCTTTCGTAACTGCCTCAACAAGTTGATATAGTACTCTCCATTGATGGTGTGGCCCTTTTGAAGATAGTCAACAAGCACAATCCCCAAATCTAATGCCATTATCTTCCCTGCAGATGAAACGATCTTGACCTTCTTTGGAGCAGGTGAAGAGGGGTATTTCCGCTGCATGCATTGTCTCTTTGTCGCTGATGAACTCAACAATCATCTTGAATTAGAAGACATACAAGGAAACCAGCTGGATCCACGTCAAACTCGTGTGATCAGCTTGATGCGCTTTGATCGGGGCTCAGGAGATGTGGAACCCACCGAGCAGAAACCTTCGTCATGCCAAGTTCATTGTGCAGAATATTCTTAACTCTCTCGCAGAATATACTCTCCATTGATGGTGTGGTCATTTGAAGATATTTAATAAACACAATGCCTTTTGCATCCCAAAATACTGAAGCCATCACCTTCCGTATAGATGAAACAACCCTGGCCTTTAATGCAGATATGTTTCCACTGCATGGATTGTCTCTGGATCAAATTGATGAACCTAACACTCACCTTGGGTTAAAAAGCGTCCGGCTGGATGTGCCTCAAACAGTTTCAGATTTCCCTGTGATGTGGTCAAACTGATGCGCTTTCGATCAGGTGTCAGGAGATGTGGAACCCACCGAGTAGAAACCTTAGTCATACCAAGTTCATTGTGCTGACTATTCTCAACTCTCTCGCATTGGCTATTTGATTTATAGTCAATCGCTTGTCATCCATCACCATGTTTTTTTTTAGGATACATGGCCTAGTGGATAAACACGTTGGTTGATTAATCCAAAAAGTGATATGACCAAAGTTGTGAGTTCTATGCCTGGCCACAGCAGGGGGAACAAAAATTTGGAGAGTTAAGTTACTAAAAGGAATTAACTGACACTGAGATATCCAAAAAAAAAAACCAAGGCACATGAAACTAGAACAATCTACCCTGTGGAACGAAATAAAAGGTGCGCTTCAAAATTTCAACGTGCATCGCCTGAAGAAGGTCGGAGCGTATCACGGCCGAAACGTGATATGGCAGTAACAAAGACAACAGTTGGAACAGTGTAAAAACTGTAAATAGTTACAATACCTCATCTCAGAAATATAGACAGATCCTGAAGAAGGCCAGGGCGTACAACGGCCGATACGTCGTGAATATGACAATAAAGATGAGGAACACAGTGCAAATAATGTAAATAGTGTAAATAGTTACAATACCTCATCTCAGAAATATAAGCAGATACTGAGCCAACTGGTATATTACTATATAAATATTTGATATCAAAAAGACCTGTGACTTTATTTTTCATGCTTTTTGTTTAAAGTATTCTCAACAGCAATTTCAAAAACATAAATATGAAAAGTGGAGTGTTTCTAGCTTACATATTAAATCCGTATATGCTAACATACCAGTTGACATATATTTATTGAGAGAAAATAACATTGCAAGACCTTGGAGGACAATGCCGATACCGACCTGGGTACATTATATGCATGCTAGAATGCTGTAGATGCTCACTGAACTGTACAAAATTGTCGGCCATCTTGTGGCATACTAACACTCATATCGCT